ACTGCTGGCCGTGTAATTAACCCTAGCCAAAGCACGGGCGGGCTGAGGCAAAGCACGGCCGTGCCCTCGACCGTGCTTTGCCCAGTGATGCCCTTTTAAGCAGATTTCAGCCAAAAAGAGAGGGGATTCTAGTTTGAGAGAGACAGAGCGATTCCTAGAGAGAGAAAGCGACGAACAAGAGTCTCCAAGTGCCCTAGCTTGATCTTCATCACCATTGGAGCTTGGCTTGAGATTGGAAGAGTGCCGATCAACGTCCAGAAGCTAAATTCCATCCTTCACAGTATGGTTTCCGCATCTGATTCTGCTTTTGCTTCTTTCTCCATGGAGTAGTTCTCCCATTCATCTGGGTGTGGGAACCCCTAGATCTGTATGTTAGGATTGATTGTATGAACCCAAGTACTGTTTCTATGATTTGATTATATTCGATTGAGGTTTGAATGATTGAATGGCATGAATCCTGATCAAATTCCTGTTGTTTCTGCTTTAACCTAGAATGAGAATATCTGCCTAGGTTGATAGAGCATCCTTAATTGAAGGTAGCGAATTGGTGACTTTAGTCGAGGAGCCAATTCGCTATTCTGTACCGAAGTCAATTCGGTAGTGGAGGTTTGGTTCGTTAGGGCCTCAATCTGTTTACTCCGGTGGAGGTTAGTCGCCCGCTAGAGACTCAGATTGAGAGGGTCTGAAGACCTTTAGTCGAGACTTCAGACTGTTTAAGAACCTTCCGCAGTATAACTATCATAGAAAGTGAACTTGGTAATTACAATCCGGCTTAACTGCAGTCTAGGGGGAACCATATCCGGGTGACCTCTCTTAACCTGAAAACAACCGTTTAGTTGCTTTGCTTGCTTGTTAGTTTAGACCTTCACTAAAGTTTCATTGCTAGATAATACGAATTCACTGAGTAGTCATCACATCTAGGACCCGGGTTGACATTGAAACCCAAACCCGCTATACTACGCTTTAGGAAGTGGTTTCACTTGGCCATTTTCTAAAGTGACAGTAGGAGTGAGTCACAAGCATACATTGTGATATGCTGATTGGATTTGATACTTCCTGCACATCTGTCACTGCATTAAAATCTCCCATGATGGCACATGGATTATGGACTTCTTTCTATAAGCTCAGTTCCTTATTGAGACGAAATCTATCTTGCTCTTTGTTAGGGCTGTAGACAAAGAAAGGATCACTGGTACTTGACCATCCACTTGCACTTGTACAAAATGCTTTGCCTCATCTAGATTTTTACCTTTAATTGTGGCTTCTAGAAGAGCCAAACTGGATTTCAAACCTATGTTCAGCTCGATTATTAATGATGTTTTTTGCTTCAAAAATGAAATCAGGCAACACTTCTAAAAGCTGCACTTTTGGAAAAGCTCACAAGTGCTTTTTACAACATAAAACTCGAAGTTACTTAAGTTGTTCCTCTGGCGAATCCTTAATCGTATCTTGCCTACCACGGAAGCCTTGATTGAGAAACGGGTCCAAATTTTGCCAAGATGTCCGGTGTGTTGGGCAGAGTCTGAAACGATGGAACACCTTTTTTGGGAGTGTCCATTCGCTGCAGCTCTTTGCATCATTCGGGTTTGGACCATTTAGGGCAAGATTTGCCTAGACAGACCTTCCATTTGTTCATAATAAGTGCTTAGGATGACCCAGCCGGAGCAAGTTATGGCTTTGGTGGAGCTCCTGTGTCATATTTGGAAGTTCAGGAATTGGGCGGCTTTTAAGGGTAAGCAGTTCTTGGTTTCCCAATTGATGCGTCAATACCATCAGCAGCTGCATGAGTGAGTGTCTTTACCGGAGGATAGATTGGTCCGGGGTCGGGGTCTTTCGCAGCACCAGCAGGAGGAGGTAGATTTGCCAAACCATCGTCTGTATGTGGGACGGTGCTGTGCGGTCTGGCTCACATTCAGCGAGAGGGATGATCTTGAAGGATGGCATTGGGAATGTGGTGTTAGTGAAAGGTTTGTTTTTTGATGGCATTGTCGATCCTCTTGTGGTTGAGACTATTATCCTCCGTAAAGCTATTTAGTGGTGTCAGACTCTTGGCATCCCTTAAGTTCGGTTTGAAGGTGATGCGAAGATACTCATTGATAAGATTAATGCCAAAGATGCGCGGGATAGTTGAGGCCATTATCAATGAGATCCTTAGTCTGATGGGTATGAATAGTGGGTTTTGTGTTTGGTTCGTAGGTTGGCATAGCAATAGGGTAGCCCATTTAGTGGCTAGAAAGACCCTTTCTTTGTCTCCTGCTCTATTCCGATCGTATGATTTTCGTGCCTAGGTTGGGTCTAGGGTGTAATTTCCTATCTTTTATCAATCAATATGATTATTTTTTGTAAAAAAAAAATATAAAATTCAAAGTTTCAATTTGAAAATTCAAAGAAAAGTTGTTTAAAAATACGAGATTATGCTTATCAATTATATTTTCTTTCTAGAAAATATGATTTTATTTATATTATCTAAAACTAAAATAAATTATAAATAATATTATTTAACATAAAAGTGATCCAACAAGATCTATTTCAATTTTTTTCTAATCATATTTTATAATATAAATATTTTTATTCATTTTCAATCATATTTTAAATTTAAAAAAATATTTCTGATAGTTTATGAGACGAACACTCAAAATTTTTTGGATAATGAATATTTATTAGTCAAACATATTTCAGATTCTTTTTTATTAGTCAAACCTATTAAAATGCTATTAATCAGACAAATGTTAACTTACCGTTAACAATTTTGTTAGTAATATTGACTTGACAACGCGATACTAGCTTGGAAGAGACACATGGAGGTCAACATTCCAAAATTTTAGTATTTAAACTAAGAAAAGAGTTACAAAATAATTAACGATAATGTAAAGATGACTAATATTTTGATGCATTGAAATTTGTTTTGGCTAATTCTTAGTAATTCAATAGGTTTTACTAATAAAAAATAATATGAAAAAATATTTGGCTAATGAATAGTCATTACTCAAATATTTTCTAAAATATTTCTATAAAAAACACCTTAACAACTTTGCAAATACACCTATGTTAATTTCATTACACCTAGATTAATGTCAACCATATACTTTCCATTGGTGGACTCAACTGAATTTTCTTTTACTGAAATAAAATATTGACATTATTTTATCATAACAATAAAAAAATAATTCACTGTTTATCTACCTATGTTACAATAATAAAATTAATATAATTTTTATGGACTACTCCAAACCACGAAAAGGAAACAATTTCCAAAAAAAAGCGAATAAAATTTAATAAATAATTTTAATTCTTATTTTATTTTTCTGTATTAGTTACAAAATTAATTTCATCATAAGCTTTGTGTCTAGCTACTCCATTGATATAATTCTCATTGTACAAATTGGCCAACCGCCACCGTGTGGATGGACTAAGAGCCACAGGTTGGAAGGTGCTACTACTACTCCATTCATTCCCTTCCCCAAAAAGGTTAAAATATTAAAATATCTGTTAATCCAAAGGAGGGTTGTTGTGTTGGGTCCGCAATGGCACCGCAAATTGGTTCTCAGCCACAAACATTTATTATGTATAATTGAATGAACTTGTAAATATCTCCATATCATTGCACTAAACAAACACCACCTAGTTAACAATTATTCTAAACAGGAAATCTTATCCCATGGAAACGCAATGAAACAAAAAGTCGTTTTGAATTCCTCTTTTTTCCCTATAAAATTCCCTTTAGTTTTATATGAGGCGTTGGAGTTGGGGTGGCGCACAATGCATATCTCCAATGATGTTATTTTATTCCCTCCTTTCAGTTTCAACATTGCAATAACTATGGGAAGGCATCTTTTTATCCTCCTATGTTGATAGTGATTTGCAGTGCAGGAAGAGGAAGGACGCAGAGAGCACTATGTAGTGAGTGAGTGGGGTATATTTTTATTTGTGTTATTCTTCTCTCACAAAGGTATAAATTAAGTTAATTGGAAACGGTCTACTTTACAAAAGTCCAATTGAATTTACAATGTTCAAGTGCGTTGATGGTTTTCCAATGGTACGTTTCGGGAAATTTTAAATTCAATATATATACGGTGACAATTATTGGTAGTACGTATTTTGCTATTGTAATTTGATGGGGTTAACTGCGTTCTAGCTCGAAAAAGGTCAACTTAAAAAATGGTTGCAATCGACCTTCACATTCACAAGAATGGTGAAACGATTGACAAGAATTGTCCATCAAATTTCAAATAACTCCTACTTAAAAAGTTAACCTAAATAATCATGAACATACATTTTTATTAAATTGTCACATATACATATGTTGTTCAGTCTACCGTATGCCATAGAGTCTATCTATTTATATAATTATTATCAAGATTTTCAAATATAATACTATACTCTAAATTTTAATGGCCGGTGTTAGTATATAGAGTAGATTGAGGACTTTTTTATATATATATTTGTTTAATATATGTATCTTTATTGTAATTAGGGTTAGCTTATAGAGTAGATCGATGGCTTATTTGTTTCATATATGTACGATATTATAATTAGGTAGTATTGAACATATATAAATATTATAAATTTTAACTTTGGTGAAATGAAAATACATAGGTGAACCCTAATGTATAATTTCTAAACATATCACAAGAACAATTTAATAACCGACTATTCTGATTTGTCAAAGTATATCAAGAACAACTAATAGTTACAATCGCGCGGTCTGAACTACTTTTTGGCATATAAAACCGAGGATCGTGAATCCACTCTATGTCGTACAATTCCAAATGAATGGAAACTAGTACCTTCGCCGGCCGGACTGACCTAATTGAAAGTGATAATTCCATATGGTCGGCCGTAAAAATTTCAGGAAAATGAAAGGAATAATAATATATATATAATCAACAAATTTTATAAAATGACCATTGGAGTATGACAGGAGACGTAATTTATAAACTTGTGGCCCTACCTTTTGCCCATAGCTTTGGATATAAAACGTCGGCCATGGAAGGCCTAATGGTTTACTTTTCTCATCAACTCCTCTCTTCTCTACTTAACATCATCTCTCAAAACAAACATTTCCCCATCTCTCTCTCTCTCTCTCTCTCTCTCTGAAAGAACATTTGATCAGGATCTGAATATGACCAAAGTATACCCAAACTCGGCTTCTTCACCCACAGCAACCGCCAGGTTCAGTAACCAGTCTTCGTCATCGCGGTGGTCTCGCAACCAGCTCCCTAGATTGTCGAATGATCATCGCTCGGCCGCCGCCGACGACTCGTCGTCGTCGGAGCAGGTCGTGCTGACGGTCTGGAAGAAATCCTTGCTCTTCAACTGCAACGGCTTTACTGTATTCGACGCCAGAGGGAACCTGGTTTTCAGGGTCGACAACTACATGGCCGCATCGGGCAACAACGGCGAGATCCTCCTCATGGACGCCGCCGGCAAGCCCCTCCTCACCAGCCGCCGCAAGGTACGAGTCGTATTATTATGTTATATAATACGAATCGTTATGTAATTTGACAGAGTCATATTCCTTATCAATTTTTTTTTTTGGTTTGTGTCAATGTGTAGAGGATGAGCCTGACAGAGAGTTGGTTGGTGTTCGAGGGCGAAACGACGACGAATCCCAAGTTTTGTGTGCGGAAGAAGGCGATGAGCGTACTCAATCCGAAATGTTTGGCGCAAGTGAGCCACTGTGGTGGTAACAACAACAACTTAGTGTATGAGATAGAAGGATCTTATGCGCAAAGACGATGTACAATGTATGATTCGAAGAGGCGGATTGTGGCGGAGATCCGGCAGAAGGAGGCGGCGTGCGGCGGCGGCGTTGCTTTTGGTTTTGATGTTTTCCGCCTCATAGTTCGGCCCGACATGATGGACACCTCGGTAGCTATGGCGCTTGTGATCCTTCTGGACCAGATGTTTGGATCTTCCAGGCGCTCTTCTCTTTCTTCGCCTGGTTAATTACTTATCAGGCTACTTAATTTAGCTACTTAGTACAAAAGAAAGAAGAAGAAAAAAAGCTATCCCCCAAACGCAATAGTAAAGTACAGAACATTTAAATTTTCGATACTAGTATGTAATTAGTTTCTTATTATCATAGTGATTGGCATCTTTCCATCCATATATAGAGTTTATATTTTATTCAATGGATCTTCGATCATGTGTGTCCGTCCACTTTAGCGATGCGGTGTTGGCAAATGGAATAATCAATGATCATATGAAGGGGGAAAATTATCACATATCATACCACCTCATAGGGCATCCGATACTCTTTTTAATTGTTCATACATATAAAGTTAGTGGATGCTCTAGCGTATGATTTACATGTGTGTTCACATATGTTTGATGTACTTTGATGTCGATGAATCATTAACCACCGGTTAATATGATGAGAGTGTCATGTCCCCTTCGACTAATATCCAAGCTTGTGTAATACTTAGGAATTTTGGTTTCAAAATCTAGTGTCATGAGATCCATTTTAAATAACATTAATTTTCATAATCTATTTGGACTTAGCTGGCAGAAGGGTCTTTAGCCTATTTAGTTCTTCAGTGGTGAAACAAATGAATGTGGAGTGAGGTTCAAGATGACTCACTCGACTAGTAGGTGAATAAGATGAATTTCCAACTTAGTTGTTACTCTTGTGTCCAATATTGACATCCACTGATCCTACAAAGGATTTTTTTTCTTCTTCCTTCACTGTAATTTTTCTTTAGTTTCCAACAATCTTTTTGCAATATTGACAAAACATGCCTTCTCACTCCACTTGTCTAGGTGTTTTGTCCTTATATTAACTAGCTAGGTTGGTTCACAGATGCACCTAGTGCTAATGCTAAGGCAATTGTCTCTTCAGTTTGCCAGTCTTAGTAGTTGCACAATTGAGTTGTCTTTCAAGTCGAATCATGACCTGTAGACACTATCCAGATCTGGTAAAGGGTTTAACATCATCTGGGTCTTAACATGGTGACTTTCCTGTTGAGACTCAATAAAAGTTTGATGACCTTTCTTTATTCCTGATACTTCATCACAATTTCATAAGTCCTAAATGCACAATCACAGTATGGAATTGGCAAATAGCCATGATTTTTCATCCCATAGAAGCCTAAGAAAGGTGTAATTTTGCATAATAGTTTGATTACCCTGTTTGGTCATATCTATTTTTCTCTTGCAAAATGAGCAATTCTTACCGAATCTCCTTGACTAAACCTAGAACGTAGGTAATTCCAAACTTGTGAAGCTACTTTGATATTCCTAATACCATGAACAATATCCTCAGAAACAAAATTGCAGATCCAGCAGACAACAATGCCATTAACCTATCCACAGTTCCTTAAGAGGGATATGAGATATAAGGTAACTAACTCATTCTTAGGATGAAGCCTACTCTGTTCTTGGGCGATTTGAGAAGAGCCTCCTTTATTGATTTGATCGAGAGAAAGTAATTGTCATCGTTTAGTTTGAATATGATGACCAGAGCTAGGAAACGGCGCGATCTGGTCCAGACTGGACCATATATTATATACTGTTTATGGTGTAGATCTAGAGGTTGAATTATAGACCACAGACTATACAGTTCAGACCAGACCACGTCTGTGCGGTCTGATCCAGATAGATCATACTTAACAAAAAATTAACAATTTGATTAGTCAAAAAAAAAACAAAAAAAAAACCAATAGCCAAGAAAAAATGGTTTTTCCTTCAAACATATATTCTAATATGCATGAATAATTTTGACACCATAAATCTAAGTAAATAATAAAGATACAAAGTCAAAGCATCCCAACTTGTATCATAATGTCATAAACATTTACATAATGTCATATAGAGACACGATCATCTCTATTCTATGGTGAAATGTGGTTGTGAATGAAGGATGGGGACGAGATTCTAAAAATTAAGATTGATATTTGGGTATCCTTGTGGGAGTTGGGAGAGTGGTAGAGTGAGCTGCTAACACGTATTGACAAGTCGGCAAGGCAACGGTTTGGTACGGTAAACCGCGGTCTAGACCAGACCAGACCAAGTAATCAAAACATTATATAATACAGACTAGGGGTGGCTATACGGTCCGATCCGATTAAATTGGACCAAATTGATCCGGTCCCAGTTCGGTCTTTTCGGGAATATAAGGACAAAAGATTGGATTGGATACAGTCCGGTCTTGATCCGGTCCGATTCCAATTTGATCTTGATTTTAGATTGAGCTTGTGGGGATTTGAGTGTTGGGGTCTCTTATCCGGTCTTTATCCGGGTTTTTTACCTCAAATCTAAGCCCGGATATGAGATTGGATTGTTTGCTATCCGGCCCCAGTCCGGTCCTGGTCCGGGTTATATGGCCCGGTTTCGGGTAAAACCAAACAGTTCGAACCAAATAGCCAGCCCTAATACAGACCATGGACCAGGCGAGACCATACTTAACGGTCTACTGTCATGGTTTTTCAAACGGTCTGATCTAATTTCCCAGCCCTAATGATGACTAGTGGGAAGGAATTATCACTATGAGCCAAATAGAAGGAGTTACTATATCAATATGGATTTTTGTATCGTGGTCGCATGAGTAGTCTATCAGTAGCTTGAGAAGCATCTCCAAAAGCATCATCCTCTGACATGCCTGGCATGATGCTACTGTAAGAATGAAGGAAGAAGGAGAGTAAAATTGTAAATGGGAAGAAAAAATATATATTAGTAGCTAACCAGACTTTGATATCATGGGAAATATGGAAACCTAGTGTTGGAGAATGTTAGGGTTTGATGATTAAGGAAGAAGAAGGAGGAAACAAGAAACAAGATGAGCTCCTCAAAGATTTATATATTCAATCACTTGATGGGATATATGGAGGGATGAAATGAGGATAGTTTGAAACGAGTTTTCTTAAACTATCCACACGCTTATTTTCAAATTCCCAAACTCATTACCCGCCCCATACCCATGTCGGAGTAGAATTTGTAACCTCATCCCCATACATGCAGTTTTTTGGTGACTATGGGTAACACCCGACTCATAATCCAATGTTACTATACATAAAATTCAACATATAGATATTTAGCTATAACACTAAACGGATCTAACAAGTCATGAAATCAACAAAAGGTACAACCATTCTTAATACGAGTTTAAAGCGTTCATTCCTAAAACATCAATCAATCAATACAAAATTACAACACTATCTAAATCATTCATCTATGACTCCGACACTAGAGAGCAATAAATAACGAACATAATCTTGTTAACAAAGGGGGAAGAAATGTAAGAGTGAAGGGTGAATGGATGGAAAAAACATTATTGTTTGGTTTGCGTGGCCATCATTTACATTTCAACTCTTTATTTTTTGAATTAACCTTCATGTTATTGAGAGATTTAAATATGATCCCTATATTTTTATACAAAAAATATGATTTTTGGTGTGGCGGGGGAGTTTAATCACCTCATCCCGTTAATTTTTTTTTGCGATCTTACCCATACCCAATCAACACGAGAACGCTTTGGTTGGATCAGGGATGATTGGATACCCTCAGTTGTGAGTTTGATTGTCGTCTCAAAAGAAGTTCGACATTGTCTGCTTAGACTAATCCAAATTCAACACACAAATCTAAATTTAGCTCCACAAAGAGTCAAATATGGCTTTTTAGCTTTCAAACCCCACTTTCACTCCAACCTTGCCAAAAGCTAAATTTAGCTTCCCAACTTCTTTTTTGAACTTATTTCAATAAACCAACTTATTTGGCCTCTAATTTATATATTTCACTACACCTTTTTATAGTTTGTTATTAGTTTTGAAAACATAATTTTATGTATTTTTTTAATTTCGAGACAAAAAAGTTCGAAAAATTAATCGCTAATTTTTTATCCTTAACTTAGGGACCACTCCAAATATGGTCTTTTTTGTAGCCATTACTTTACAGCCGTCGTTACGTCAATTATTCGGCATTTAAATCTAAAATTAATTCAACAAACCAACAACCAATCACACACAAGGGGGAAAGAGAGGAAGATAAAAATAGATATGTCCGCCCGCTGGCCGAGATAGGCGTGGAGCGCGTGTGTGGGGCGCACATGTTCGCTCTGCATGTCAAGATCACAGGGCGAGACCACCTCACTTCTCCAGCCATATTTGGCTTTTCCCCTAAAACAATAGCTCAAATCCACTTACCCAAGAAAAAAAGCCAGCTTGGGGGGAAAAAAAATCATGCGAGGAGCTCTCTCCTCTTTCCTCGAGTGGCCTTTCTGGCTTGGCGGCTGGTTACTGAAAATCGTCTCATCTTTCTTCTTGATTAGTTTGAAGAATCAAGAAGGCAACCGGTGCCGATCGGATGTGGATCCTCGGATCGTCGAGACTGTCCATGGAGCTTCGGGAAAGCAGGGATCTCGACGGCTACAATCGGTCATCGCAAGACCTGTTTCGACCAGAAACCCTTATCGAAGAGAGCATAACCCTATTGGGGAGCTCTGTAAGCGGAAACGGCCTCCGATGCAGGAGGATTCAAGTCCTTTGGTTGAAATAGCTTTATCATACTCTAGCCCTGCGAAAAAATGTAGAGTGGCTCGACGAAAAGAATGGAGGTTCTGCCTCCCTTCGTCGTCAGATCTGGTAGGCGAGGAATCGCTGTTATCCAGCACCGCGGGTTTACTTAATCCTGATCGTGACCCTACCTGGCGAACTGAAGATCAGGCTTGCTGCTCTACTGGGGAGACCCAATCGGTAAAGAAAGACTTACCGTTTCGACTGATCGGAAAGGCAGCCGAACACCCTTCATTATCGGATCTGGTAGGTGGTCAACCACTGTCGTCCAGAACCGAGGTTTTCGATGTTAATGTTAGCAATATCACCCAGCGAGCGGATGTTCAACTTGACCAGGGTGATAGAGACTTTTGGAAAGAGGCGGCGGAAGTACGATCCCTAGTGATCACAAGGCCATTGAAAGCGGCTCCGGTAGCTAGCGACGGCAACTTGGCCGATGAACCCCCAAGTGGGGCCACGTGGACTGCACCCACCGAATCCCGTTGTGGGGGGGATCCTCGTGTTTCGGAGGTGGATTTGGGATCGTCTGTTACTCGGGATTGGTACGAGGTTGCCGTTTTAACCCAACCCAACGGAAAAACAAGAGTCGTAATCCTGGTCCTTTCGAGTCTCCTTCTCCTAATACA